CACTTTTATTATTTATCTATTTCATTTTTTGTTTACTTATTAATACATATTACTTCATTTCTCTATCTTAATACTTTCTTATTTGATCTTTTAACTATTAAAGATTATGACTCAATCTAATAATCAGTAAACTGATAATGATTTATTCATAATCTTATATGCTCAAAATGAATATTCTTCTCACACGTTTCTCAATTTTAATACTTTTTCATTTAATTAATTTTCAAATTTTTCCATCAATTTCTGACATCAATCACATTAATTTTTTAGGTTAAATCTTTTTGAAATCAATTACAGTAACACTTAACTGTTCTTATAATGAATGTACTGATTTGTTGAACTGTTTATTTTATATATGATCAGGTCAGATCACTCTTAAGACATTTTCTCTCAAAACAGTGTTTTTATAGGTCACTTTTGGAAGTATTTGCACGATGAAATAATTGACATTATTTATTGTTCATGATAGCATTCTATATAGTAAAAATAGATTAGTGATTTATATAGTGATCAGGTGCTAATAATATTCATAAATGGCATTGTTATTATATCATGGTGTTTTGTATTTTTAAATTATATTTAACAAAATAATGCATTCAATAATTATCCTTTTAAGCTTTTAGGAATATTTTCAAAGTTTTCACATTCTGTATTTATTAAATCAGCTTCCGCTTAGAATACGAATTGTTACTAGTTTTTTAATTTGATTAGTTTCTTCGAAAGTATGACTTACTTGCCATTTCAGAAAGTAATTTGAAGTCCATACATATGTATAGACAATTAATTTGCATAAATAGTTCGCATACTTTAGTTCAGTTAAGATATAATTTATCAGATTGTGATTTGTTTTCTCAAACTTTAAACAGTGAGAGATTTTAAACATAGTATTATTTTACTGTTTTTGGGGATTTTCATCTGATATATATATATCAGATGAAAATCAAATACATATATATATATATTTGATTTAAAAATACAATTATTAAAAATATCATGGTACTTGTTTTTTTTACATCATGTATATTATATATCATGTGAAGCAGGTCAGAGGTTAATTTTTATTGTTATTTTCTTGATTCTCGCGTTTAGTCATATTCCGTCGTCGCTCACGCTGTACTCGTCCAGCACTAATTTCTGTTGATTCGGTACACTGGTCAATGCTTTCTCATGACCTTCACGGAGCTTTCTTCAACAACCTCACCGGTTTTCTATATGTTTTAATTCATGATTCCAAGCTCGGTTTTTTTCCCTCTTTATTCTCCTGCTTTCCTACTTCGTAATGCGATCGACTAGCTAGCAGCTCAAGCGTTCGGCAACTTGCAGCAGAGCCGAGCAATATTTATATATATACTTATTTATTTATTAAAGTTAAGTAATTTTAAAAATGATTACCACTGTAATAATTTTGAAGGTTATTAACACTTCGATGTCTGAACCAGAAATAATTCGAAGCACAACACTATGGATGCAAATGAAGGGTTTACTTTTCTTTACTTTTATACTCCTTTCTACGATTATCAATACAATTTACGTTCTGATACCTTTGCTACCATTAATGTTTATCAATCATAATTTGTGGAGGAGATTAATGGATTACTTAATCGGATTATGGCTACTCGTACCATGTGTTCGTTTCAATTTTTTTTTCATATTTTATAGTTATTTTTTGCTTATTTAGAGATCAGTTCAAGTGAACTATATAATTAATTAGTATAAATATTGTTAAAAATTTGTATATGTTTATTTTATTGAGCGCTTATTAGATTTATTATGCACAAACTTGCGTTAAATTAAATTAGATATAAATTTTTTGATTTAAAGAATTGGAAAAAGTTGATAATGATAATTAGTCTTAATTATGCTTAAGTAATACAGCTATTGTTTCGTGAGATTTACGTGTATTTTATTTACTGTTCATTAAACATTGAATCCAAATTTAATTATTTACAATATTAAAGATAGGCAAAAATCGGGTAGATTTGTTTTGCTAAATTTTTTGAATAATAATAAGTATTTCAGTTTACTATAGCGTTTTATCAGTTAATATGAATAACATTATGGTTCTGTTTGTAATCATTTTAAAATATTTTTTATCAAAAATTTAATTATGATAATTATGCAAGTTTAGGGTTTAATGGAAATTTTATTTGGTGTTAAAATTACAATATCTGGAACTAAAATAGATCGTACTGAACCAGCACTAATAATTATGAACCACCGAACCTGCTTGGATTGGTTATTTTTTTGGATAGCTTTAATTCAAATAAATCCATATCTTCTGGTATCACAAAAAATATCATTGAAAGTTTGTAATTTATTTTATTGTATTTTATTTATAAATTATTTTAACAATATATCAGTAAAGAGACTATCGTTTATTTTGCTGGGAGTAAAAAAGTGGATGACTCACAAATTTTTGGAATTTAAATATTTACTTCACGTTTACTGTAAAACTTTAGTGGGATAGTGTTGTTTAATCTTAAAAATAGGCCGTAATTAGACTGGACTAAGGCGTAATTTAGACGTTTTGGAATTTATTAAAAGGATGAGATTAAGCTGCTTGGAAAACGAACATCAGTGATTTATGATAAGGAAGAGTAACACATATCACAGCAAACTAAACTTAATTTCTTTTTTTAACAGAAAATAATAAGATATATCCCTGGAGCCGGTTGGGCTATGGCTACTAATGCTTATTTATTTTTAACACGACGTTTTGAAAAAGATCAAAAGCATATTGAAAATATGATTGATTATTATGCTAATTCAAAGCAACCTTATCAGGTACGTATCAAGTTAAATTAATTATTAATTATACTAAGTAAGAAATAAACATTGCTCATATTATTTTGAATATGAACTTATTGACCCATGCATCAAAATCATGAATCCAATTGCATAAATAAGATTATATAATGAGATTACTGTGGTAATTCTAGAGGATTATACTGTGTTGTTTTGTTTACGGTATAAAAAAACAAATATTTATAATGTTTTGATCATTTTGTAGCGTTAATAAGTAATTCTCTAGATAATAAGCAATATAATCAAAATTAAAGGATTAATAATACTGTGGAAATTATTATTGTTTTATCATATATGTAATATATGCATTGTTCCTACCGTACTGTGGTTAAGCATGCAATCAAATTTTGCAAATTATTGTGTAATAATAAATAATTTTCACAGGATTACTAATCAGCTAAATACGGTTTACAGGAATAATATATGGCATAATATAATTATACCAAAATTTAATGCTGCGGTCGATTATTTTATCACTGATAATTTTAGCTGTTATTATATCCTGAAGGAACGGATAAAGATAGTCGAGCAGTCGAACGAAGTAGGCAGTTTGCTCTAAAACATGATCTAGTCCATTACAACTATGTACTTCATCCAAGAACCACTGGATTTACAATCATGTTAAGAAAAATGAGACAAGGTCGATGCTATACTTGTTAAGGATTATTGTAACTAGAATTACTGTATAGCTAACTGAACTGTGATTAAAGTTTCATTATATAATAACTATACCAAAGTTTAAAAAATCTCGAAGACATAACAGTACTGATTAAACACTAAAATATTTATTAATTTTATTAGTAAGAAATTTTTTAAATTCAAAATTATAGCTGTAATTTTGAAGAATTTTGTTGTTTCTTTAAAAAAGTATTGACTGATCAAATTTAAATAATATATGATTTTTAACGCGTCACTTGTTTTTCACATTAATCATATAGTATTGACTGATCAAATTTATATTCTAAAAAAGATTTATTTTTCAGCATCTTACGTGAAAAATATTTACGACGTGACAATTGGTTACGCAGATGCAATCGTACAATCAGAATTTGAATTACTCTTTAAGGGTGCATGTCCAAAAAATATTCATTTTTGTGT